ATAACTGATAAAATTCCTTAATTGAAATTTTATATATATAAATATTGTTACATTCTGTATATAGCAATATAATTGCAAAAGTAATTGTAATATTACCTTGAAAAGCTATTTCAAGATCTTTCAAACTTGGTTTAGGAGTAGTACGTAGCAAAGCATACATAGACATTATAATTCCTGGTGTGCAAAAACCACATTGTGATCCATGCGCTTTCGCTATCCGTTCTTGGACTGGATGCAGTGTCGTTTTAATACTTCCGATACCTTCGATGGTAGTTACTGCTAAACCATGTATGGCACAAACCAATGTTAAACATGAATTCACTGCTAGATGTCTATTTAAATTAAACAATTAAAGAAAATTACACTATTTTCTTTTTTATATCAGACAGAATAATTTATTACTTTTTAATTTTGAACTTTTGAATAATTTCTTAAAATTTAATTTTTAAAGAAAAAAAGTTCTTTATTAAAATTCCAATATTTATTCATGATTCTAAAATATTGTAATCGTTATTTTTTATTTATTATATAATATAAATCTAAAATAAAGATAATATTAAAAAGGATACGTAATAATTCCAGTTGTACGATCCAATTTTGATATCATTACAGTGCATGCTCCACAACCACCTTCTGCACAGCCTAATTTTGTACCAGTTAAATGTACTAAATTATTCTAGTTAGGAAAATTTTCTTAGGAAAAATATATATTTTTTTTTGTATTTGAGAGTCTATAATTCTATTTATTTTTTTATATTGTGTACTTTCTATATTTCTTTTTCATTTATTTTTTTTAATCTTAATTTTCCAGTTTTTTATTTTAAAAATTGTTTTCTTGTTATTCTTGTTTTTTGTCATATAATATCAGATATTTTAAATATTTATTTTTATATTCAAAACATTAATTTTTATATATAAAATTGATGTTTGATATTAAAAACTATTGAATGTTAAAAATAAAAAAAATTTGCAATATTTGTTTTTTTTTTGTTTTTGTTTTTATGCGATATTTGATATTAATTGAATAATAATATAATGATTAAAAATAATCAAATGCATCATGAAGTCACAATGGTCATGGATAACTATTAGTAAAATAAACTTTAACTGATAAAGAGTTATTGATAAAGATATAATTTAATTGAATCATATTACTTAATATTTTATTATTATAAATTTAAAATTATGAATCTATTGTAATCCCATGAAATAAATATCTAAAATTTCCATGGTATTCAACATGTTAATATATAAATATTTAATACATGCATATTTATATATATATTAATTTTGTTAAAATGAAAAAAGGATACATTTATTTCTTAAATACCATAATAAAGTCCATTCTGGATTAACACTATTATCAATTATCTGTAATAGTATCAATACTTGTAGATATTTGTGAAAACTAATGTAATTAATTAATAATTGTATTTTTATATTTTTAATTTTTTCTTTTGTAAAAATTGTTTAATAATAATGTTAAAAAAATAAAAAAATGTTATGATACAAACAATCGTATAATTATAAATATAAATATAAATATAAATATAAAAATATATATATATATATATATATATATATAAAATAAATATTATTTAAATAAAATTTATTTTAAAAAAAAATTTTAATAAATGAACAATTTTAAAAAAGAATTTAAAGAAAATAAAAATAAAATAAATGAAATAAATAAATATTAAAAATATATGTAAGTTACTAGTTTTTTTAAGATTAAATATTTAAGAATTAATATTTTTGAAAAATAAAAATTTTTATATTTATGATTATATTTTATTTTAAGCACAAAATATATCTTTTAACTATTCTTAAATATATTTATATATAATAATAAAAATAAAAAATAATATATATATAGATATAGTTACATTTTTTCTACACGTATGTATAAATTTGAATGTATTATATAATACATAATATGTATTAACAATATTAACAATATATAATATGTATTAACAATATTAATACAATAAATATAATATAATTGCATACCTCCTTGCCATTAACATAAAATACTAAAGTATGTGATATCCTGTCAAGTTTCTCTTCATTATTCAATATGACAGGTTTAGATTGATTGATAATTCCATCATGAACCATTTTTATTAATTATTATAAATCTCAGCAATCCCTATAAAAAACATTTTTTAAATTATTTACTTATTATTACAATATAGTAATATTTTTGTATATTTATAATTATGCTTGATAATGAAGAAAAAATATTTTATCAAATTTTTTTTTATTTCAATATATATATATAATATAATATTTTAATTTATAAATTAAATTCTTAATTTATATTTTTATATAATTGTATAAATTTATATCTTCATTTAGTATAAAGCAATAATCTTTTCTTAATGATTATGTAACATTATTACAATTTATTTGATAAACAAAATTTTGATTTTTTATTATCAACAATAAAGATATAAAAATGCTTTTAAAAACTTATTTTTTAATAGTAGTATATATATTTTTTCTGCACAAAATTATTATATACTAATTTCTAAATATCTTTATTACAAATTACAAATAGTATTTCATTTATAAAAATGACAAAATTATTTTTAGGTATTTACATATATAATAATATTTATAATATTGCAGACAAATATCTAACATATATAATTCTTTTGCAATATCTATTGCTTAAGTGAATAACGATAAGAATGACCTATATTTCCCAAGAAGTCTAGTAAATAATAATAAAAAAAAGACTTTAATTTTAACTAATAACATAAAAATTCTATAAAAAATTTAAGTAATTGTATCTAAATAAAAAACAAATTGAAAATTGCTTTCTTCTTGATATCTTTTAAGTTATAAATTTTACATTTCATTTTATTTATTTTTAGCATTATATTTGAATAATTGTTTTATTTATGTTAAAAAAAAAGAAACAATATTTTTAGCAAAAATAAATTTTACACAAAATATAATTTTCGAAAATTATAGGAACATATTAGGAACACATCACATATTATATTTAATTTAATTTAATGTATAAAAAATATGAAATGCATACTTGAATGATTAATTAAATATTTATTATTATTAAATAAATAAATAAAAAAATAAAATAATAAATTAATTTTGAATTTGATAAATAAATAAATAGTTAGAATATAATATAGAATTTTATAAATAAATAAATAAATAGAAATAAATTAAAAATTATGCAAAATAATTATAGAAGAAAAAAATTTACCTTTCTTGAGTTGAAATTTTTAACTCAAACATTCATGTAGAACTGTTTGAATAACAATGAATGACACCATTAGGTTATCAAGTAAGATATTTTCTATATTATGTTTTATCAAGAAGTCACATTAATAAAGCGAATGAAGTAATTTGTCTCTACTACGTCTCTTTTATTCCTCACTCTCCCTTCTCTTGCAATGGTGATTATAAAAATCGTACATATACGAAGAAACATATTTCGTTAAATAGAAAATCAGTATTGTAATTATAAATATTGTATAAATATTAAATATATTGTTTCATTTTAAATTATATTATGCAATTAAATATAATAAAAATTAGTTAAAAAATTGATAGAAACATATTGGTTTAAATAAATATCAAAATATTTATTAAGCAGATCAAAAGCATTAAAAGATATTGTGTGATTAATGAAATAACTACATGAATAAATAATACGAAATATTCATAACAGAATCATTTATTTTTCACTGATGTAATGTTAATTAAATAAATTATGTATATATCTTTTATTTATTTTTATATTAAGTAAATATTATAAATAAATATTATAAATTTTAACATTTAAATTAAATCTTTGAAATTTTTTTAAATCGCCGAATAAATACAATAATATTATATTTATATTTTTTTGGAGGAAAATAATTATTATGTAAAATATTAATAATATTACAACACAAAATAATTTTTTAAAAAAAATAATGATTTAAAAAAATTAAAATAATATATTATACCATTCTATTAATTCATGTATCATTCTATTATATCATTATGAAAATACAATTTTATTTATTATGATAATTTTGATAAAATTTTTACATATATATATATATATATATATATATATATATATTACGTATATGTATATTTTATTATAAAATATATATTATTATTATAAATAAAGTAGCTATTTTTTATTAAAATAATTTTAATCTTTATTTTAATCATTATGATTTAGAAATATCAATAATGAATATTATAGATCGTGCAATCTTTTCCAAAAATTTTTGAAGAATAAAAATATAAAAAAATATATAATTTAGCTTTTTTAAATTTATTCAATTTGAAAATAATCTGATATAAGAAAATTCAAGAATAAGAAATAAAAAATTTGATTTAGAATTTGATCTAATGTTTAGATATTTACATAAGATAATATACTATATGTATATATATATATATATATATATATATATATATAGATAAATAAATTCTTTCTAATTCTAATCAGACTAATTCTTAATCAGTTTTTTTAGAATATAGTGAGAATAATAGTATTATTATTATATATATACATAATTAATTAAGTATCAATCAATTAATAATATTTTTATATAATCATAAACATAATTTTATTACATTATTTTTATATTTGCTTTATTTATATATTTGCTTTATTTTATGTTTTTTTTGTTTATATATATATATATATATATATATATATCTTATTTATATATAACAATAAATTCTATTTAACAAAAAAGTATAAAATATAAAAAATATTTATTTAATAAATTATTAGAAATTTTTAAATAAATAAAAATGTTTAAGAATTGACATGTCATAGTCAAATCAGAAACTAATGATAATGATGTCATTGATTTAATTATTTGATATTATAATTATAATTTTAATTTCGATTTATTTTTATAATTTAATTTTTTTATTTTAATTTTATATTTAAATGAAAAAATTAATTTATCAATTTCATAATAGATAGTGCTAGAATCGCAAGTATTGATCTCTACAAACTTTCATATCTATATTTCATTAGATCATGCAATCAGCTGATTAGAATTGGACTTAAACGGATATTATATTATAAATTTGTCAAAAATTTTTTTGTCTTTTCATCGAACATGACTTTTTTCAAAGAAAATAGCAATGTTTTGATAATTCTAGATAGTGATATTTCTAATGACAACATCGTAGACTTTATCAGTGCAATTCAAAAATGTCTCAATCATGCGGAACAACTTTCAATTGTGTCAACAAAAGAATTGAAAAAATGTAAGTACATAAATATTTTTTAAATATTTTTTAAATATTTTTTATATATCAATTTTATGTAATAGTTATTTTTTTCATTATATTTTTTTGTTTTTTTTTTCAGGTATCAATTCTTCTATTTATGATATAATTATTTTTATTTTTAAATTATCATATGCAAATATTAAAATATTTCTAGAAGAATCTTTACGATTGTTAAAACCAGAAGGTATATTAATTATTTATGAATCATACCAACAAGAAAATGTATATTCTATTTTTGATGAAAGAGTATCTAGTTTGAAATTGAGTGGTTTTAAAGTAAAAGCGCAAGAATCTTTAGATACAAAACAGTTAAAAAATCTTTTGCTAAATGTATACAATAATATTGATAATATTTTCGAAATAGTAGCAGAAAAACCTTCATTTGAGGTAAGTTATATTTTTTTTCATAAATTTTTTCACATTTTAATATTGTTTTATTTAGATAGTTTTTATATTTATTATATTTCCAATTTATATAGATTGGTTCTAGTGTAACACTTAATTTTGGAGAAAAGAAATCTTCTAATATATGGAAATTAGATAGTGCTGTTGATGAAGAATTAATTAATGAAGATGATCTTTTAGATGAAAGTGATATTGTCAAACCAATAATTAATAGTTTACGAGGTAAGTTAAATTCTAAATAAAAAATATTCTATATATATATATATATTATAGTTAAAAATTATTTGTTTAAATATAATATTAAATAAACATTTTAAATAAATAAATCTTTTAATAAAAATAATTTTATTATTTGTTAATTTTTAGTCAAATTTAAATTTTATTTAAAAACTCTTAAATAAATTTTCCTGAAAAATATTAAAAAAAAATTATTAATTATTATAATTTTTTTTAGTATGTAGTACAACAGGTAAACGAAAAGCTTGCAAAGATTGCACTTGTGGCTTAGCTGAAGAATTAAGTGGAAAAACTGCAACAGAAGGAACTGTAAAATCTTCATGTGGAAATGTATGTAATTTATATTTTTTTTTTTATCTTAAAAAAATTTAAATAAAAATAACATATATTTCTTTTTTAGTGCTATCTTGGTGATGCTTTTCGATGTGCTAGTTGTCCATATCTTGGTATGCCTGCGTTTAAACCTGGTGAAAAAGTAGTTTTACCTGAAAGTCAATTAAAAGCAGATTAATGAAATATTTGTGAGTTATATATATTCTATTTTTATAATCATTTTTTGCATGTAATTATTTTAATAACAATTTTTAATGTTGTTAATTCATATTATTTTCACATTATTATTTCTATTATCATTTTTATTTAATGTATAGGATCTTTTCTTTTATTTATTTTCATAAAAAATGAAAAAGTAGTATAATATACATAAAAAAATTTAATGTAGTTTAAAAGTTATGCAATAAAAATATAAGAAGATATATATTAGTCTTAATTATTTTTATTACATTTTCATTGTATACAACAGCAATCAACATATTAATCATAATAGAATGGTACAAAATATTCGAAATTTTGGTATCTTTCAATAATATTGATGAAGTATAAAAATAATAGAATAATTTAAGAATTGTTTAATTACTAATAATAATATACCAATGAAATTTTTTTCTTTTTATCGTTGAAACAACAGTTAAAATTCTTTTGATACATTATTATCTATATCAATTAAATTAAGTACAAACACAAAAAGAGTAAAAAAATAAAACAATTTAGCTATTTAGAATATATCTGTGAAAAATTTATTTAGGAATGTAAGCCTTTCACAATAAATTCACTAACCCTCCTCTGGGGATGAGTGTTCGAGGAAGGACTACATTCCAAATAGTATTTAATATATATTTTACTTGTATCATTCTATTTGAACATATTTTGGAATTTAACAAATGATACAAATATTTTATATAAAATTGATTACTAAATTATTATATAATTATAATTATTAATAATATAAAATAGTGACATTGTAAAGGACAATGTCTTTAAATTATATTATTAATTATATGGTATATAGGAACAAAATAAATCGTCATGTTCTTTGCTTCTACAACAGCAGGAACATTACTTCTCATAAAATAGAAGTACATATCAAAAACAAATAATGAATTATTTATATCATAATATTGGTATTTCATGTTTATAACCGAATTTAAAATAGCTCATAGCTGTATTATATCTTTTATGTCCATAAAAATTACTGCCATGCAATAATTGTCTTTCTGTTTCATCTACTTATTTAATACAATTTCATTTGGTGCAAAAAAGACATACTGCTACCAGTATGCTACTATTATTATTATATATGTGAAATTCTAGAAACTTAATCATATTATTTTAAGATAATAATATTTCGAAATTATACTATTATACTTAATATTGATAATTTTATACAGAATCTCTTTCTTTCACTCTCTCACTCTCTCTTTCTCTCTCCTCTCTTTGGTATAAATTTAAATTTATGTTTTAATTAGCTACACATTATAAAATGCTAGCTATCATTCGTAAATAATTGTATAATTTAAGTACAAAGAGAGCGATAGAAAGTACAATTTGATTTTAATTTTTTGGAAGCAATAAAACAGAAAATATAATATAATAATTTCAAACAGATTCCTCCTATTTTATTGTATTTTGTATAAGTTACTTTTACTTAAATATATAACAATTTGTACTCTATTTCGAAAACCAAGAGATTAATGTAAAATCTTTCAGTCTGCAAACGAATTTCAGCACGTTTGTTGTACTTTCTATGGATGTATAAATGTCCATTAATTTACATAATGTTTTTATTATTATTTAAAATTGTAAATAACTAATTTATAGAAATGGATTACAGATTTTCTGTTATTTATCATGTATAAGAATTTGCATAAATATTCAAAACAATGTTATATAAAATCTTTATAACAACCTTAATCGCTCAAAAAACAAAATAACTCATTAATTTTAAAGTTAAAATTTTCTAAAGTCATCCAAATCACATTATTTTTCTAAAATTCTCTCATAAATACAAAAAATTTTTATCAATATTCTTCTTTGATTCAAAATTATTTATAAAAAAAATATAAATAAAATAAGAAATAACATAATTTAATGTTTAAAAATAAAATTCAATGATGGTTTTAACTTGAAACATTCATTTTTTTGTTTTTTTCATAAACAAAATATATAACATAATGTTCATAATAGTTTTGTAATCTAGATTTTTTTAAAATTGTACTCATTGTTAATAATACATTGAGCAATCACTAAGCCTAGCAATTAAGGCATATTTTATGTACCCTTTAGTTGCACTCAGAATTAATATAGGATGTTATTTTTTTTAATATATATTTTGTTACTATTGAAATAGTTTCAAAAAATGAATAAAAGTAAACAAGGAATAAATTAAAGAACTAGGAAATATTACTAACAAAGTATTATATAAAATTTGTATAAATTTTATATATATATATATATCTATTATTTATACACCAAGACATTTCAAAAATGCCATGGAACTTAAGATTTTTGTTTTTTTTATGAAAAATATATAATTGCATATTTTTAAAAAAAATTGATAATTCTTTTAATAATTAGATGAAATCATCTTTATATGAACACAGCCCTACATATTATTTAATGTAATAAAAATTAAGAGTCTTCGAAAAAGACCTTTGGCTTTCTTCTTTTGACTGTATCATCATCATGATGTTCTTGTATCTCATAAGCATTGTTATTAAATATAACAATAATATTACAACGTTCTGCGGTATGTACAGACGTGTAGTTCTGCGAAGTTAAACTTTCCATAAATTTTTTATTAACTCCACAAAATCTTCGCCAATCAATACGTCGAGTTATTAGTTTATGCTACCATGAATTTTCTTCCATATTATCGAGCAAAGAATTTTTTTCTTCTTTCTTAGAACCATTTGTTCCCGGCGCCGTTGCACATAATTTTGGTTCGAAACATGGCTGTAAAAAATAAAAGTTTAAATATGAATCCGATAGTTTGCTTCGAAATTTTGATGTAAAGCATGATAAAAAAAGATAAATTTTTATAAACTCTTTAAATAAATATAATTTTTAATTTAAAAAATAACGATTTAATTACACTTTTAATTTCTTAAAAACATTTTTAATTTTTAAAATTCTTGCAAATAATTGATATCTTACAAAATTAAATTTGAAATAAATATAAACTTTTAAGAATTAATCTATATATAAATAAATTATATAAAATAGCTTAAAATAAGTAAGTTATATTGTAAGTTATATTCAAAAAAAGATTTTGAGCATATTCATACTAAAGTATTAAAAATGTTTTCCTTATAATATTATTTTGTAGAAAGGTTACTATTAATTCTGAATAACTGTTTTATATTAAAAATTATTTATTCGTTCAAAACTTAAAGTTCTAGTAATACAAGTTGTTTTAAGTTCATAATCATTAAATTTCATACTGCAACATGGAGCATCGCATAATGATGATGATTATATATTTTTTAAATGAATCTATTTTAATATCCCAAAATCTTAACAAAAACTGTATAACAATTTATATCAGTTCATGCATAATAAGATATTAATCAAAATGTAAACAAAAAATTATTACAATTAAATAATGAAATTTTTATTGAAATGGCATTCAAGTTAGTAAAAAGTAAATATGCAATTCTTTTTCAATATTTAAATATTAAGTATTCCAAATATAATTAAAAGCATTCTTAATTGTAATTAAATAACAAGCATTATAAATTTAAAAAATTAGAAAATAGCAATGTTATTATTTTTTTGTTTTTGTTTTGCATTTAAAATTTTTCTTAGGAGAAAGAGAAACAATCTGTTTAATTGAAATTCTTGTGTTCGTGTTCTATACCTTTGATTTTATTTTTAAATCTTTAATTGTTTCTTTTTCTCTGAATATGTATATAATTGCAATATTTATTTAATACATTTTTAATTCATTGCATATATTATATGCTCATGCACGCAAATAATTTTTATATTTTAGTTGGTAGATCACTCACAGTTTCACAGATATTCATGTTGCAGCAGTTTTCTATGGTTATTTCACATTGATTATCCGGCAGCTGTGGTCGAGACGTGAGCGGCGTCACACCGCCTTTGCTGACGACGAAACGTTTTTTGATACGTGGTCGTTTTCGAAACTTATTTACATAATAACTAAGTACGATTATCACGAGAGCAAGTATGCCAATGAATGCACCAAAAATTGGTAATAATGTTCTATATTCGTCTTCTTCTTCTTTAACTGTCACTAATTGTGCACCTTTTTCATTTCTTTCAGCACATCTATTAACAGAAAATTAATCTGAATTAATTTCAAATGAGAATTTTTAAATCATATATTGATTAAACTTCATTAATAAAAAAATTTTATCAAACTATGATTAAAATTATTTTTATACTAATCCTTAAATAATAGAAAATTCATTAATTAAACAAATTATGTTCAATGATAGCTTTATACACAATTATAATGATACATACGAGTGAATATATAAATCTATAAAATAATTTAAGAATTTGATTATGTGCACTATGTTTTGTTCTTAAAAGCGTAATTTTTAATTATTAAAACTTTTAATATGAAATATGAAATTATTATAATAATTATTTTAATTGAAATTGAAACAGATTAAGAATTCAAAACTTTTTCAAACTTTTATGAAATTAAAAGTTTATCAAAGCGATATACCTGCACTTAGCGTTAAGAGAAACGCTAGTAGGAACTGGTTCCATGTTTGCACAAAATATTTCACAAAATTCAATTACATTGTTTAAAATCTCACAACGAGATCCTTCAGAATATTTACACTTACAAACTGGTTTCTCATTTAGGACGGAACATTGACCATCATGCAAACAATAGTCTTTGCATGGATCTATTTCACATCTTGGTCCAATAAATGTACTATTGCACTTACAGATGGGTAACCCATTAATGTTTATACTGCAGCTGCCTTGTAAACAATAATTATGACAAAAATCCGTCTCGCAATGTGCTCCAGTGAATCTAAAATAATTTAATTCATATTTAGTCTTAATTTTACATTATACAATTTAGAATTTGATTTTTAAATTCCATATCAATAAAATAATATCCAAACTCAAACTATATTTATGTTATTAGATACTTACCCAGATTTACATTGACATGTTCCTTCTTTTTCGTTCATAAGACCATTATTCAGACAGTATTTGATTGTTTCAGTAATTATTTCGTTCATTTCTTCTGTACTAGTTGTCAAATTATTAGATGATTCACGAAGCGGTATTGTGATCGTCGTACTAATTTTTGATCTTTTTTTGCAATCTATTTTGCCAACATTATCACGCGTTAAAATCCCACTTGGTGCAATACCAGGATGCGACTCATGATACGAACGAAACTTAATCATTGAACTTTCATTTTTCCCATCTTTTGGCATTCTCCAAATAGCTCTTTCCGTGATATCGTTCCAATATATCGAATCATTATCTAATGCCAAATGAACTGGTTGATGACGTTTAGGTTGAATCAAATATTCACGTTCAGAACCATCGAGATTACTACGCTCGATTTTAATTCGTATGCCTTCAATATCGTCGATCCAATAAAGTTTCTCGTTGATATGATCTATAGCGATAGCTAGCGGATCATACAAATTTTCGTTGATTATGGTTGTTTGATTACTTCCGTCTAAATTTGACCGTTCGATACTTGAATATGAATTATTATTATTTGTCCAGTATATGTGCCTATATAATATAAATAATGTATAATTATCAGTTTTTATATTTTTTTTCATATATATGTATATGATAAATATTTTTCTTTTTTTCTTTTCTTATTTCTATACAATTTAATTTTTTGTATTCTTATTTAATTTCGTTATGTTTCAGGGAGATTTTTTTTCTTTTACTTGATATGAATTTCTAAATGGAATTTCTAAACTGATCTAAATTGCCTGTTGTGAATGATCATGGTAATGTGTATGTAGGACATAAAATAGCACACCTGTTACATACATCCAGAGCGATACCACACGGATTTAAGCTAGTTAAATTGTGGAGCACCTTTGCTTCTTCCAGTGATCCATCTGGTAATATATGCATCTTCATAATCACTTCTTGTAGAATATCACTCCAAAATAGAGTTTGCGTTTCTACATCAAAGGCAAGTGTCAAGATGAGACTCTTATTTCGATCTGGAAATAGTAAAAAATATCGTTTGTATATTATAAGTACTTTTTTCAAAAATATGATTTTAATTTAAATGTAAGGATAAATTTAAATTTATTTTTATATTGAATTTCTTAATAAAAAGATTCTTAATAAGTAAGAAATTAATATGAAAAAAATATTCATATTATTGATGATATAATATAAATATTCTTTAATTTTTTTTTTAAATAAAAAATCTTTAGATATATATATAATTTGAATTTATTAAAAAAAATTTATTTTTTTTACTTTAAGTAAGGAAACTTTTTTAAATATATAATATTAATATATAATATATATAATATTATTATATTATATAAATAATAATATTATTAAATATTAATAATTAAATTATAACAAATTAAATTCTTATATAAGATATTTAGAAATAATTTTACATAAAAATAAAAAATCAATCCATAAAATATCAAAATATTAAAAAATATATATATAAATAAAAATATATATATAAAAATATATATAAAAAATATATATAAAAATATATCAAAAGGAATATTTAAAATATAAATTATTCAATATATAAATTATGAATATTTCTATTAATATTAAAGTTCAATTCAGAAATTAAAAATATTTTAAAAATAAAAAATATCCAGAAATATGCATGTATAAAAAAAATAATTATATATAATAGTAATATAATTACTTTTATGTAACGGTTTTAACGTAAAATTCTTGTCCGTCAGATCATTACTAAATATGGACATGTTATTCTTATTTCTCAAATCGCTGAGAAACATTGTTCGAGTATTTTCATCATAAGCCACCCCCGATAGAGCCACAGCATCCATAAATTTTGCTTGCGCTATTAATGTTTGATTTTGCGCAAGAAATTCAATTTCACGCCCTATCAATACTGCTAAATCTGTAAAAATAAAGAAAAAAAATTAATTAATAATAAATATTATAAAAAAATTATATATATTATCATATATATTATATATATTTATACATTTCATTAAAATTATTATGATTATTTAACAAAATATAATGATAATATATATATATATAAATAATAATATATTATTTTATTAATTATTCATTTTTTTTTAATAATTATTTTATTATATCTAACTTATGATATAAAATCGAAAATTAATATAAACAGATATACAATTTTTTATCTATTAATTATCTATTATTATAAAATAAATTAAAATTTATAATTATAATTTTATAAATTTTACTTTATTCATAAAATGAAATCATTTTCCAAAAATCGTTTTCTCTTTTTTATAAGTAAATAATTATATAAATTTTTAGTTTATAGTATATTAATTTATATTATATTTATACCTTAATAATTTTTTTAAAAACAGAACTCTTATTTTATAATATTATGAGATATATATATTATGAGATTTCTTATTTAAGATTTTCAATGTTATCTAAATCTTTTTTTATTCTATAATTTTTTTTTCCATAAAAGATGATATTAGAGGTCAGGTTTTATCTTACTTTTCCTTTTATAATTTAATGTAAATAATAATAAATTTTAGTGAAAAATAATTCGAAATGATTAAAATAAAAAAACATGAAAGATTTTTCGTTTTTTTTTTTTAGTAATTTTATAGTATTATGATAGCATTCACCATTATCATTTTAAAAATTATGTATATCTTAATAATTTATACCATATATTATGTTATGAAAGAAGAAGAATATTGATGAATATGATGATCAATGAATAATAATTTGTAATTTATTTTTTATTTTATAATTATATTTTTTCATTATTTTATTCAAATTAAAAGAATAAAAAAAATTTTAAATAAATAACAAAATAATTTATAATTCATTTTATTATACAAATTATTTCAATGATTTATTTCAGTTTTTATTGTATTCGAGAATATATTTGAATTAATTCACATAATGCAAACATGAAATATTAATTATGCAATATGAAATATAGCAAGAAATAGATGAAAAGTTCAATTCATTCTGATATTCTGATATTTCTAGAAAGTTCAAACTAGTCTAATGAATTTAACGTTCAAATCAATGCTTCAATGTATAAATATTCAATTCTTTAAGTGTTTTTGACAAATTCATTCGTATGATTGATTTTATTATATCCGAGTAGGTACAAATATAGTTAAACAATAAAATTAAGATTTCATGAACCGCAGATAGCATAATTCTTTGAGTATTTGCATGGTAAGATATCACTTAATTAAGACTTATTAACCTCTTCGATTGCGGTTATTTTGTTGGAAAATTTAAATGTAACTATCATTTCTATAATTAAGAACAAAATCAATATGATAAATTAAAATATAAATATATAACGAAAAATAAAAAAAAAAGAATCGAAAGTATTAAAATAAATTTTCTAAAGTAAATTTAAAAAAAATACAAGATTTATATAAAATCATATCATATATTAAAGAATTAACAAAAAAAGTTTTGAAATTTATATTATCTTGAATTTATTTGTTATCTTGATTTTATTTTAATACGATATATTTTTAATTCATTAGAATACATTAGCAATTCAAAATTTGAAAGAAAATATATATATATAATAATAATAATAGAAAAAAAAATTTTTTTTTTCATTATCAAAAATATTATCATACATAAATATTTTATCAAAAATAGATGCATTTTATAAATTTTTCTTACAAAATTCCATAACTTAATATGTAATCATAATAATGTTATTAAAATTAAAACTTATTTAACAAAATATGTATTTCAACATATATTTCTGGAAATCACGTAATCTTTACGTCACGTATTTATAAATGCAAATATTATACAAATCATAAGAGAATCAATTTCAAATATAGGAAGTTTGATATAAATTCTATAATAAATCAATTTTTTTTTCTAAATTTTTATGTATTTACAATTTTATTAATATATTATTATCACTATATTTCAATTTAAATATTTTATTTATAATAATTATAACAGATTGATAAATAAATGATAAATAAATCTTTAAATAAATTTTTTCTTCTAAAAAATAATTTAATCATAGATGATTGATAGATATTTATGTTGAGTCAAGAATCAATTCACAAGTGTATATTCACATGTACTCTTGATTATATTGCGGTTATAAATTAACCTACAAATTAGCGGTACCGATTGATATAGCAAGTTCTCAGGGCTGTATATAGTACACTATTGCAAGATATACACATTATGTATATATATTTTCTGATTTTTTAAAAAAAATATTCATAAGAAAAAAAAATATATTTTTAATCTTTTTTTCTTTAAATAGAGCATAAAAAAAATTAAAAGAAAAATAAAAATTTATAATTAAAATATCTCCTTTTTCCATATCTATATATATATTATCCATATATATATCAAATATTTTATTTTATACTTATATATTTTAATTTTTTAATCGTTTTATATCTTTTATCAAATATAAAGGAATTCTGTCGCACGTGTTTTTACTCTACGCATATGTTTAAGATGTTGCGCGCGCAACTAATATTTAAAAAGTGCGCGCCGTAACTATAATATAGAAACTTTGAAAACTTATATTTTAGAAATCGAATCATAACAATAAATCGGAAAATAGAAAAGTTCTTTTTTTGTTATATATATATATACATAAATTAAATCGTATACATTTTTAAATATAATCTGTAATTTAATATAGTTATAAATAATTTAATATTATGGATAATGCAGAAAAATTAAATAAAAATAAATGGTTAAGATAACTTTACTATAATTTACAATAAATAAAATTTATAAAATTCAACAAAATTTTTTTCTTTTTTTAAATTATTTATTTTAAATATTGAAATATTATTAAATATTTGTTTTAATTATCGAAAAGCATATTATAATTATGCAAGGCATATTCTTTATATTATTTCATCACCTCTAATTGTAAATAAGAAAATACAATAAAATATGGAAAATACAGTGACAGATTAAATTTTATCTAAATGTTTTATAACGATAAATCGAATGTCGAAGATCATTGAATATTTCTTTCATTGTCGATTGACTTGACAAGAAATGAAACTGCGCAATGTCTTCGAATCATGGAATAAACTATTCAAGTTTTTGCAATATAATGAACATACACATTCATAAATATGTTAAATATTTTACTTGCTGATTGAAAATCATTTCCAGTTGACGTACGCACGAATAGAAATTTTATTTGTGCAAGAATAGATAATAAGAGGAAAATTTGTATGTTGTTGACAAATATTTTTCTTTTTTTGTTACTATGATATATGATGAATTAAATATAATAAATATAAATTTAAATATTTATAAAATATTTAACGTTAAAAGATATTATTTTTCCATATATATTTTTTTAAATGAATTTGTAAAAATTAAAACAATTTGCATGAAAGTAATTTATAATAACGGTTAGATAATAAGAGCATAAATAATGGTATATCAACGAAAAAAATGAAAAATTATATGCAACGTTGAATTATCTTATATTATTATTTCCAGTTTCAAATTTTTTTCTAACAAATTATCACGAGTGTTATATTTCGCTGTTCCATATAATTCTTATATTCATATTATATATTATATTCATATGAACATACGTCTTGTATATCTCACTTCACAATCGCGACATAAGAATACAGCTATTCAATTTCGTTACATTTGCATTTTGTAAATTTCGTCATGCTTATTTATGATAAATAACTGTTGTATTAATCTTATTAATGATATAAAAATAAATACAGCAGAAAATTCTTTCTATTTATTATGCTTGAAAATTATTGGAGATAATTTTTTTTATTGATCTATAAAGATTGAAAATTAATCAATATTTCTGTTATTAAATTAACTTATTATTCTATATCGTTATACATTTTACATAACTGATACATATATATATATATATATATATATATATATATCAATACAATGATGAGTCTATTTTGTATTCTGTATATATTCTATAAGATTATAAAATTAAACAATTCAAATAATGTTATCAATTTCATGTATTACGTAATTCAGATTTCACATATCATTCTGTACGCATAATTTTTAAACAGTTTGATATTAGTGATACAATGCACGACGGAACAGTTTTTCTAAATACGCTCGCGAGAACGTACATAAGAATGAGGATTCGAGGATCGCTTGACATTCGAAAAATTTATGTGACATAATTCATATGACTACTATTTTTACATTGATCATACCACATGGTTTTCTTTTGATATTTGTCGAGAGAACAATCGAAATAGATAAAGTAGATCTATGTCGATCTATATTATAATTAAAAAAAAAAATCACTAAAAATTTGACCGGTAGGTGATAATTTTTAGATGTGTTATCGAGTTACGGTAATTCAATATAGACTTCTATTCGCTGATTTATTAGCTTTTCGATAAAATTCCGTACGATTTCTATATGCGTGTACGCATATACACAGAAAGCAGAACTCGGTTTGACATTCATTACGTAAACAGGTATAAGGACAAGTACCATTTCGCTTTATTTCCATGTCAATATTAATCATAGAAGTCTCGTGAATCCGTTTGAAACAAATCAAGGATCAGTTTCATTCACCTTTTCAGTCGTGTTTCGACTTTCTACAAGGTAAAACAGTACGAGAAGTGGCGTACGTGACCACTGAGACCGCGTGAATGGAGAGCGTTCACGCGACTCGCAACACGATGTTACTTGTATCATTTATACAATATTAAATTGTTATTAATACAATTTTTCATAACATAAAATGGCTTAATAAATGATTATTCTACTTACCCCAAGATCTAGCATGTATGTTAATTGTGAAAATTCCAAATATTATCGCTAATATAACGGTCAAGTTTTTACGAGATGTCATGATGTGCGTTCATTTGTCAGCCGCTTAATTAGCCTGGAAATATTGTTAAGGCACAGGTGACGGATGTAAATGACGTTAAGATACACTGCAGCCTTAATTTCTCTCCGTTTTCTTTCACTAAAATAAATGATGAACGACACAACACATCTTTACTAAACGGCGGCTCTGCGCGAACTGAGAGCTCGTGACTTCGATGAGACCAATGGCGTAGCATCGTACTTTTACGGTCAGGGTTCTCGAATGTCATTAAAAATGCTATCGCCTTAATTCGAATAATTAAGCAGCGTTAACGAAAACGATTATACAAATTGATATTAAGTTATTAAGTTGATTAATTTTTATGTTATATTTTCTTACAAATTGTAATGTAAAAATCATTAACATTTTATTTTGATATTATTTAATAATATTTTATTATATTTAATAATATAGTTTAATAATAATCTTCATAAATATATATTTATTTGAAAGTTAATTAATAATTTTTAAAAATTTATTAAAAATTTGTGTTAATATTAGTATATTAATTTTCTTAATTTGTTATAACATATGAATACAAATACATATATATATATATATATATATTTGAAGAAAATTTCAATTTATTACATAATTTAGCATAGTTCAAAAACAAAATTTGTGAATTTTATTTAAAAAATTTATTATAATGTCGATAATTATATATGAATAGTTTCAACGTTTATTAAAAAGATGGTGCAACTAATCAAAGACCATTGACAAAATTCATTTTGCTGTCGATAATAATAAGGTATTAATTTGAACAGTTTTCAAAGAGATGGCTCTATCACTTAAATTTAGATATGTCTTTTTTTATGCTATAAGAGTCATATCTATTCTGTACTTCGTTTGTAGTTATAATTTTATTTGCTTTTTTTTTGTATCAATTTCAATAATTGAATTCAATATAATTCGTACATTCACTATACTAAATCGTAAGAAGTAACAAAAACTCTGATTTTATATATCGATATTTTAGAATATGGGACAAAAAATCCCATTTATTGTTAGATCTATTTTATATCTGGTTTGTGCTTATACATATATATTTTATAAATTTGCTTCTTTATATACATTTATATTTCATATATATTAATATTATATATATTATTTTTGTATAGTTACATGTTATATAAATATTTTTTGTATATTTTTTATTTTTTCTACATTTTAAAAATATAACAAATTAAAAAGAAAATTATTAAATATAAATGAATATAAGCATAAATGAGTTTGTAATTTAATGAAAAGTTTATTCTATATCTATTTTAATTTAATAATGTGATATAACTATGTCTATAAATTGAATTTATCGCCTATATCTTTGTTTTTGATTTTTGGTTATGACATCATTAATACTGATCTTGATTTTTCTTTTTAATTATATTACAATAAAAGACAAATAAATTAAAAATTTCAAAATAATATCAATTGAAATCAAAGATGACATTTATTTAATATTTATAAAATAATATAAATATAATATATAATACATATTATACAAATTTTATTTGTTATATATCAATGCATGAAATTATTAACATTTAATTTTTTATACTTAATAATTTCTTTGTTTTTTAATAACTGTACTTTTTATTAATAATTTTATTTTTAATAAAATTTTAATATCAAATATATACACATATATTTCATAATTAAATAACCTAATTATATGGTGCCAACTTGTTTTTTACATATTAAAAACATGATTTTTGTAAAAAATATAAATATAATAATAATTAGCATTTATTCAATTATGACAAATAATGTAACGTGACTACGCAATGTCGTAAATTTTATTCTATGAAAATGAGAAACAATTATAAATGAAATAACACTAATGCCACAGTATTATTTGTTGCAATTGCGCCTGCTGGAAACTGTGACGAAAAATAAAAGTAGTTTGTCAGGTTCGTCTCGGTCGATATCGGCAATAAAAAGAAATATATTGAAATTATACCATTTATTAACTTATTATAAATAAAAACGATCTTCAAAATGTAGAATTCTATTCGTGTTGCAAACACTAGAGAAGGAAACACGAAAATCTAGAATCAATGAAAAAGTGCGCATAAAGCGGGAAATGTTCTCTATGGCCCCGAAGCGACGACGCCACGTACTAGATGGTATATTATTGATCAATAAGAGAGGCTAACATGGATGACCTGTGCCGGCAGAGGCAGCTGTTACTTCATCCGTATTTTTACGCGACGCGTGTGTACCACGAGAAACCGATTTTCAAACAAAGTGTTCATACGATTTTGGTGTTCTTTTGGCTGTCTGTGACAAAATGCGATTGTGTTGCGGAACAAGAAATACCGACCGTACGTGAAACGCGCCAATCTCATACTCCCGTGGAAATACACGAATTGAAGGAGACAGAGGGAGTAACGGAAGAGTAACGGCTAGCCAGGATAGTTAAAGAGGCACAGAGATAGGCTGCGGGGGAAAAAGGAATTGGGAGTGGGAGTGAGGGAGCAGAGAGAGAAAGAGAGAGAGAGAGAGAAAGATAGATAGATAGATATAGAGAAAGAGAGAGAGAGAGAGAGAGAAGGAGTAAACGTGTGCAAGAATAATAGAAAAAAAGCGATAGAAGAGGAATCATAAAAACAGAGGGAGAAAAAGACGTGTGAGCGACATGTGTCTGTGTTGAGAATTCTATCCGCAAAAGTACGGTGGCCCAGGGTGCGCCGAGAGAGAAGATCGGTAGCATTCTCCTTTCCTATATCCGATACTTTCTCGTCGTCTACACGGGACTATCGATGCAGACCTTACGGAAGAAAAACAGTCCGTGCAAGTGTGAGTAAAAAGAAAAAAGCGAAAAATAAAAGAAAAGAGAAATAAGAGTTACCCCAGTAACGAATTTATACAAGTTTCGTGAATACCATTAAAATTGTGCGATATCAACGTCATCCTCTGTGTATCTGGTGTATATATTGTGATACGAATCAACAAATAATGTGGCCTTAAGCAATAGTTTCAGTTTGTTTCGTGGCATTTTTAACATTTTCTAAAATTAAGTGATATCACCCTGTAGATCGGTCAAAGGGAGCTTTGGAATATGGCTTCCCTGTTCTCTAAGAGGGAGAAAGACGATGGTTGTTCGATTCGAGCTGTGCAAATTAATTTGACCATGAATAATGTACGATACGTTGAATACTTGCGTAAGGCATATGGTTTGAACATAATTGAAAGGATGTCGGTTTTATTGTTGGAGATGACATCGTCAATTTTATGATTTTCGCGCGAGCTTTTATTGTAGGGTTAACTTACCGACCGTGGTAATACAGATTGTTGATTTACTTATTTGTACACAGTATCACCGTTAGCTGGTAGCACTATCTACTTTGTAATGCTCATTTTAAGGATTATACTACTTATTACACTTAATTTTATATGTCAACAATTGATTTATTCTTACGTATAGTTTTTAGTTATAAATTGATAGTATTTAAAAATTATTAAAAAAAAAATAAACTTAATAATATAAATAATATATATTAAATTAATATATATTAAAAAACTTTATATTGCAATAAAAATTTCAAAATAGAAATAGAAAAAATGAATATATACATATATATATACCCATTGAAATGACGAAATTAGATTAAAAGAAAAAATCCCTCTTAAAATATATTGTAAATATAATTACCTTTTATAATTACCTTTTCATTGTATCTTTAAGTTAATAATGTTTTATTTAGATACTTATAAGTATATTCTATGCATAGAAGAAAAACTGAAATATAATAGATACAATTTTATAAATTACGTTCCCTTAAAGTTTATTTTATTTTGTTGCGCTTAATAATCTATGCAAGTGATGCATGCTTTGAAAAGAAGAATGCATAAAATATCTTTATAGTAAATCAGATTCTATTTTATTTAAAAGAGAAAAATAACTATTATTTACCAGTTTTTTTTAAATTTATTATAGATATAGAAATAATCAATAGATTGCATGTATTTATGCATTTATGCAAAATTTGAACGTGCAAAAATCTACAAAATGGATATAGCACACAAAAAAACAAAATATCTAAAGTATAACATTATGCATGATATTTGAGGAATAAAATAAATCTCTATTTAAGGTTTATTTTTTTAGTTATGTTCACAAAAATTGATTTTATATAAAAATGATGATTTTATATAAAAATCTGTCTAAAGAAGGGAGATGTACTTGTGACAATCTTAGTTTAACGCGTGTAAGGAGTAAAAGAATGAAAAGGTCGTACAAAAGTAATCATAGGTAAGGGGTATAGGAAGGGCATGAATTGGTTATCCAGATAGAACCTCGAGTATCGACAGTTGGCGTTCTCCACTCGAGTCGCACGAGTACGTTCAAACAAATGCGCTGGTGTGCCTAGTGGCCATTAAAGTCGCGAGGGGCCGTCCAAAGTGTGCGTTAAAGAAGCTCTGCATTCATGTTTCAGGGATAGGGAGATTTCGATAAATTGTCTGTAGAAAGGCAAATCGAGAAGTTACGAGTGGCAGAGATTAAGACTCGCGAGGGGAATGTATGTATGGGGATAGTTGATTTGATGATTGAGAGAAAGAATTTGAGAGTATATGATTTTAATGCATATGATGAACGTGTAAGCTTAATAATAAATGTTGTTGAAATTGTAAAAAAATATAATACATAATACATAAACGTATTATAATAATATTATAATAATATTATAATAATATTATACGGAATGCATAAATATAAAGGTAATTTTTTTTTTATATTATTTATTGATTAGTTAGACAGAGTTAATTATTTGTTACAAATATTAATTTTTCAAAATTTAATAATCCAAATCAATAAAAATAAATCAATTTTGACACGATTTTCCTTTGAAATTCTGAACAAAAAGGACACCGTTTTGTTCCCAAATTGATAAGCAACTGTATTATAGGAACTCTAACAAGATCAATTTTCCACGAGATAGATGACGAACCATGCGACTAACAAAGTAATGCAAAATCTGTCGCGGTCTGCGCCCGTTTTAATATCCCTGCATGCGGTCTCGTGCGATGCGGATCCTATCGAATCATCGAATTCGAGATAGCAGGGGTCCGAAGTGATCCGCCGACGATGGTTTCAAACCTCTTAATATCGATCGGCCACACGATCAATTCGCCCCGGTGAAAGCGTAAAACGAGAATTCTTTTCGAGTATCCTTCGGATAAGCAATTTATTTCTCTTTCCTGTTACTTTATTCTCTTTTTTTTTTCCTTCACGATTTAATCTCAGATTTCTCTCATTTTAAATCGAAAGTATCGAGGAGCGAAATGTTATTTAATAATTGTCGAGTGTGCGGGACTGAGATTGAATAGAATCGATACGTTGAGTAACACTACTTAGAGTGGAAGAAGCATTTTACTACTTATACATGAAATGTGTATACTCTTTTTAAGAATAGAAGATTTTTATTATGTGGATATATATATTTGCATTATTTGTTAATTTTATAAATATTCTATGAAATTTTTTTCAAACATTTTCTTTTTAAATTTAAACATTCTATTAATATAGAGATATATTTAAAAGTTCTTCTTCTATGTAATTTCTTTCTATAAAAATTTAAATTAATGTGAATCTTTGATTGAATCTAGGATCAAATTATTATTATTATTATTTATAGTTACAAAAATATTTTTAATTTGATACTTATTGAACGGATAAAAATATTTTCAATTTATTTCTTATCGAAATTTATTAATTGACATTTTTTTAAATTAATATTTTTTTTTAAGGAATTGTATAATTATTTATTTTGCAGTCAAGAACGAACCAACCCGATTTCTAGGGGAGGGTGTGTCGTTCAAAGCGAAATTGATTGGCATATTGGAAGTATCGGAAGCACGCGGGGACCGGATGTGCCAAGCAGCTTTGGCGGATCTGAAGATGGCGATTCGAGCTGCTGGCGAACACAAACAACGAATCGCCGTCCAGGTCAGCATCGATGGATTACGCTTGCGGGACGAAAAGTCTGGGGTAATGATTTGAGAAAATATAACAATTGAAACGAATATTTAATTTTTGAAAAAAATTCTTTTAATGTACATAATGTATATAACTATTTAGAAAATAATTTTTGTAAAGTAACTTAAATTAAAAACGTATTTTATTATTCTTACGTTACATTTTATGTAATTGATATTTATTTGTTCCAGGACTGTTTGTATCACCATCCTGTACATAAGATATCGTTTATCGCGCAGGATATGAGCGATTCGCGAGCTTTTGGATACATTTTTGGATCACCAGACACTGGTCATCGTTTCTTCGGCATCAAGACAGATAAAGCAGCAAGCCAAGTAAGATTTACACAGTATTGAGTTACATTTAACTGCTAATTATAATCCATTAATTGTAAACAATTAAGATTTATTAAGATAATTTTAATAAGATTAACACGAATATTCAGTAACTAACTTATTTTCCTGTATTGTACTGATTGTAAGTTAATTTTATTATTCTTTTCTGACCAGAATTTTGTTTGCTGATGAGAAAAACTGACTGTGATTGATTGCAGCTTTTTATTTTAATTTGACATCTGAGAAGTGATAATTATTATAGCGTAGAGATGTATTAATTAAATATGACACAATGGTAAGCAAGTAAAATAATATTTGAAGAAAATTAATTTTTTTATACACGTGAGTGTATCTCAAAGCAGTGTTAATTAAAATTAAAAAAAGAAAAATATATTTATTTTTAAACATTTGATTAATCAATAAAAATTTCCATAGTATTAGAAACATGTTTTACAGCTACATTCCCTAATTAATTTATTCTCATCTGTTCTTTTATCTTCTAGAAATATGATATAATTTATTCTTACACTGAATCTATCAATCCATAAGATGTACATAAATGACCAGAATTAAAATATCTTTATAGCAATTAATTAAATCCATTCATGTCTAAATAAAAATCAAAATTAATTTCATCTGCATTTATTTAAATAATTCTAAACTAATTATATAATTTAATAATTCTAATAATTATTTAAAAAAATAAAGAAATCAGCGATCACAATAACAAATCATAATCATCTTTCCTTACTTAATAGATGAAATATTCCACTCGATACAAGTTTCTTAGAATTCAAAAAAAAAAAAAAAAAAGAAAAAAATCGATAATAATTAGCGCAATAGAGTAACGACGTAAAATAACGATTTCCTCTCAAATCGATAAAGGAAAATGCAAGGACGGCAGTTATATCGTCACTGGTTCGGATATTGCCTTTGAGTAATAACAAAAGTTTGCCCGTGTTGATTCGATAAAAGAACCATTCGTAAGCGTGTGTTACGATCCTTAAACGCGTTCCAAACCGTCGGTGTCGTTTATCGTGAACGATTCGCTTACGTCGAGGCAAAGGGGTTCCTAAAATGATATTTGTCCAATACAGGAGAAGCAATATCGACCTCGCTAGACTCTCTGGTAATTCAGGAGGGATATGTAAATAATTGCATTATACGATTCGGCCTACCACCCCAACGATACACTGCGGGAGATTGTTGTTCGATTATACGCGATTTCCCTTCGTGTAGAAAGAGATTGCGATTGTTCGATGGTTCTCCCTTCCGTTCTTCCTATTTTTTTTTCTTGTAGCGAATATTTTTATTTTATTGGTTTTTATCGATAATAAAATAAAATAATGCAGGATTAATTTTAATCCATTTTTATGTTCTTGATATCTGAGGTTTTGTTGAACTGTAATATATATGAAAATAGAGGGAGAAATTATCATTTTGCCAGTTTTGAAATTGTTTGAAAGATACAGATTTTTAGAAAAGTTAATTTAGTAGTATTTAGAATTTTAGGGAAATTTAAAATCTAATTGCTGTGTTTCTCATCAATCCATGACATTCATTTCATATTTATATATTTATATATTATCATATATAATAATTATATATATTATTAGAAGTCATAACATTTTTTTATTAGCAATACAATTAAAATGAAATAAATAGACAATTGCATTATCTTTTTTTTAATAGAAATGTATGATTATTATGATCAAAATGGAAGATGAATGTGAATGCAAGATTACATTTTTTTAAGCGTAGTTTTAGTCTTTTAATATCTATATATAAATTGAAATTAATATGATCACCAAAAATGGTATGTTAAAATGTTCAATAAAACTTATTGAAAGGAGTAAGAGGATGTAGCTGACCACGTGACTGAACTGTAAGAGAGAGGGAAATGTGTAATAGAGGGGGAATAGGCCATAAGTGACTGCGGATCGTGTATAGTCGGACGCGTTTAGTATATTAGTAAAACAGGACGTAACTCTCAGGCTGTGCATTATTTCGAAACTTGTTTCAAGCAAAAGGTATTTTTCAATTAATACAAATTTATGTTTAATATATTTTTATAACTTCTAAAGATCCTTGAAATAATTTTTACATCTCCGCCTTCCCCCTCCTTTTTTCTTTATTTTTATTTAATAGTTAGGTTTTTAAATATAATTTCATTTTAATTTCAAGTATTTTATACATGATTATTCAATGAAATAATCAACATTGACACCGTGGAAGAGATTTTTCTTCATCTTGCAATATTTTGCAGGTGGTAATCGCGATGCGAGACTTGTTTCAAGTGGTGTTCGAGTTAAAAAAGAAGGAGATCGAGTTAACGAAGCAGCATTTAGAACAGAACGCTATAAACGTTATTAAATTTCATACCACTGGCATCTTTGTCGAACCTACCCCTGATACTAAAGTAATTGCTAATTGTTTTCCATCACTCCTTTTTATTTTAATTATTAATTATTAATTAATTAATTTATTATATATAATAATTAATTAATTTATTTGCTTGTATATTTAATATTCTAATAACATCACGATATAATTTAAGAAAGAAAAAGTCTTATTTTCTTCTTTTACTAAATATTTGATATTTCGTATAAAATAATTTTGATGTTGTTATGTAACAGGGTGCAGCAGGATCAGAATCTTCTCTTCATCGGGTAAGGAATACTAATTCGGAGGTAGACAAGTCAGCTGACAAACGAAACGAGTCCCCAATAAGGGATAATCCCGTAATAAGGGATTTATTAGATTTACAATTCGAATTGAACTCTCTGCAGCAAGGTATCCATCACATGGACAAAATTACCCCTGAAAATCCACCACCTTCCACTGACGATCTCTTTGAAACCGATCCATTTGGCGATTCCTTTGCGAATATGAAGGTAATCAATCAAAATTAATTTTAGTGTCTAATATTTTCTATTAATATAAATTATTTTGTTCAAACAATAATATAATTCATAGCTGGAAGATACTGTGAGACCAATTCTACCACCACCACCCTCATCTTCCAAAAGAGGCCACCTAGAGCGACAGCAAACCATTCCAGGCGCCCAATCGTCAATCACGTCTAGTCCAGCGACCACATTGACTAGTAAAACTCCTCCACTTCAAAGTACCATTCAATGGTTCGACAAGGAAACCGAGAATCTATTCAGTGACAGCGAGCTCACAAACTCGACCAAGAATAATACACCGGTTAAAAAAGATGTGGAAGAGGTAGATGTGTTAAATAAACATTAATTTTTTAATAATTTATAAAAAAACATATATAAAAATTTTAACATAACTCATAGATTATTATCCTCTTAAGATTTTTATCTATTCTCTTATTACTGCAAACTTTATAGTTTTCTTAGTCTTAATTTTAACAATATCAAATAATTATTCAAATTATATATTTATTTCTAATTAAATACTATTTGATATGTTACAGACTCAAGCCAAGAGTCCACAGATAGACGTTTTCACGGAGTTGGATCCATTAGGAACTGGTTTAATCAAACCCTACGTGGACAAAAAAGACTTTTTCCAACACTTGAAGAATCCTCCCAAGAAGGTGCTAAAAGATTTAGTGTCTACTAACTCGGCGGATACGTTCCCAACGAACTTTAACGTTCTCTCGGAACCACTAGAGTCAGTGAAACCACGAAACGATGTGGCCGCCAAAGAAAATCAATTCGAGGACAGCAATTTTGCGAATTTCGATCGCTTCGACGAGAACGAGGCGATCCAATCAGTTTTCGCGCGTACTGACTCGTGCAGAAGAACAGATATCACGCCTAAACTGGCTCATCATCAACCTCTTTCCGTGTCTCTTCCTCCTGAAGACACTTCCACCCCAAAGTCCTCGACCATCCCGACCTCTGCAGGCGTCTCTCTACTTACAAGAATGGAAAAAGACTCTACAGAGTCTATACACGGCCTGGTAAAGCTTCCTAGTCCCATAAAATCGACTCGCAAAAAAGAATTCGACGTAGACATATCTGGTAACAAAGCGCAATCCATGGACAAGACATTCCCTGTCGACTTTTCAGCAACCAATGAATCACCAGCTTCTCCGTTAAAATCCTGTTCCTCAGATGCTAACTCTAGACTGTCAAGTTCGTCCGCCGAATTGGAACTCGTACCTGAACCTCCTCCTCGAGGGATCGCCAATATTCTGATCAATCCACCACCTCTGCCGCCGAAGAAACAAGGAGTTAGAGCTATGATAAAGCCTCCTCCAAGACCACCGCATACTGAGACCTATTTCCATTACGATTTCCCTGAAAGAGAGTCCGAAGTGACCAAAGACAGAAGTAAAAGCCCGTTGAAGGAGCCGAAGAGCCTCCAATCTGATGACAATTTCAGTCCGCCTGTACAAATATCAAATAAGTCTGAGTTGATAAGCGCGATGACCACGTCGACATTCGAAGATTCATTCAGCTCTATGGTACCTACCACGAATTTATCCACCTTTTTTACATCGACCAGTGCGACTACTGGACCCAAAAGGACGAAACCTTCTTTGGATATCACGTTGAGCCAATTAACGTCTGCTAATTTAGATGAATTGGCTAACAGTTTAGGTATGACCGTTAAAGAGTTAACTAGTTTGACTCTTCAGCAGTTGACCGAATGTTTGGCTACCTTATCAGCCAAGGAAGCTGCATCCAGCGACACAGAAGAGCCAGTTTCTATGAAGCAAGAACCAGCAACTGTTGTCCAACCGCAATCAATGTCTGGCACGATTCATTCGAGACCGTTCAACGAGCCACAACCTTTCACACTTTCAAAGAGCTTTGAACAGGAGACCAAACAGGATACTACCTATGATAAATACGCTGTTTTTAGGGAATTGTTCGAGCTAGAGCAGATGGAGAAGAACGAAGAAAGTACGACGAAAGAGTCTACCGAAGAGGAAACGTCTTCAGTGAAGAAGGAAGAATTCGAGATAGTTAACCAACAGCATGAGACTAATGAGGAGAGTAGATCAGATACATTGGCCACTTTAGTGAATCTAACAGTGAAACTTCCACCTAGCAATGAGGATCTGACTAAAGAAGAACCAAGTGCAAAGCCTGAGGAAAAAATAGAATCTTCGAATATGTTTGAGAAGACTCAATCAATTGAATCAGAGAGTAAAGCAGAACCAATGATAGAATCTGAAGTATCCACAGACTTGTTGTCAAAACAACCAGAAGAAGAGGAATCTGATAAAACTAAACCTATAGTGGAAATTGAAGAGAAAATGGAGGAAACCGAGTCTGAAAAACCTAGTGATTCCAATGAGGATTCCGATAAGCCAGTTACAGAAAAAACGGAAGAAACGAATGGTTCATTAGCAGTGGATAAAGTTGAAGTGAAACCCTCCGCATCTATATCCAGCGACAAATATGCTGCTTTGCGCGAAATCATTGGTGAACCAGAGCCTCCTGTCAAACCAACTGAAGAAGATACACCAACCTCCACCAGAATGTCTCCTGTGGTCCAATTACCAGCTCAATCCAAGCCCTCGGCCGAGGTGGAGCTGTTAAATCTATTTTCCGACACGCCTCCTCCTTCCAGCCCTAAGAAACAGTCCAAGAAAGAGGAAGACACAGGGATGAGTATGGACATCTTCGAGGAGATCAAAATGTTGAGTACCAGTGGTCAGCCAACAAAGACTAAGTCGCTGATCCCCGAAGACATCTTCTGCCCGTTCACGGAATTGAAACCGGAGAGAGATGAAAGCAAAGACGACAGCAACTGGACCAAGTTCGATACAGGTCTCTTCGTATCGGACAGACCACCTTCGGAGTGTCCTCCTTCGATCAGTGGCACTTCGCCCTGGTCCCCCGACGGCAAAGAGTTCCACAGAGAGTCTTCTTTCAAAGGTAGCGTGTATCAGCAATCGGGCGACAGCGACAACGAGTGGAAGGACGAGGAAGAAAGCGAGGAGAGCAATGGGAGGATACGAGATCCCAGATTCAGATGTAGTCACTATCCCAGATTCGACGGTCCTTTTGGAGACAGAGGTTTCTACGAAGAGACGGGATCCAAACGTGACAGGGGGTTCCGAGATAGGATGATGGAGGACAGGAAGTCTCGTGACGCGGCCTGGATCAAGAACACCGGGCACAGACCTAGGGATTCCTCTCCCTGGCACGACGAGAGTCAATGGGAGAAAGAGTCCAAACACTATCCCCACAGAAAGATGCAATACAAGGATGAAGATGAGCATTACGAGACTCACTGGAAGTGTAGATCTAAGCCTCAACGTTGGAACTGGCCGCACGAGCACGGACCGTTCTACGACGACGAGAGAAAGAGAAAGATGATGCTATGGAAGGAAGACAGGTTTGGCAGTCAGGAAAGTATGGGGTACGACGACGACGACAGGTGGTCCAGGAGGAAATACGAGAGAAGAAGGTGGCCGGAAGAGGACGCCAGATTCTGGAACAGAAGGACAGCAGGTCCACCCGACTCAGATTACCCTAGCAGGGATTACTATTACTACAGAGAAGCTAGAGAGCGATCACACGATTATCCATCCGCCTGGAACGAAGACTACGGTTCGGATCGACCCGGGGATGATTCACCAAGGTACAATCAGTCTGGTAGAAAGAGGCACTGGCCCAAGAGACCGAACAGTGCGAACGAGGGGCGCAACATTGACATGATTTACGGCGAGTCTCGAAGCAAATTCGGCACCTCCAGATCCGAGTGCAACGACAACGACTCCGACCCTTACATACGATCCTCTCAACGTTCCAGGAGTCGTCAGAGTTATTGGGGCAGCGACCAGGAGTACGACAGTTGGGTGGAGAGGCCCTATTGGTCCGAGGAGCCGGATACGAAGAGCGAAAGTCTGCATCGGAAGAGAGTAGCCAGGCACAAACCTCGTCAACCTCACGTCAAGACCCAGAGCCCGTTCGAGGACGATTTCGCCCAAAGCGTGGAGCACATAGACCCCTCGACCACGGAATCTCTGACCCCGGTCGAGCCACCGAGGATCCGTTCCGAGGGAAGCGATCAGAAACCATCGCCGCAGAGTCCTTCCTTCTCCACGAGATATTCGAAAGTAGCTAGGAGGGGGATGGAGGAAGTGTACAGCAAGAGATCAAGCTACTTCGAGGACGACTTGCCATTCACCGCCACAGCGATGAGCGATTCATCCGATCGGCAGAGGCTACCCTCAGATCAGAAACAGACGCCTGAAGATGTTCCTTCCTGCGAGGCTAAGGACGCGCCGCCCGACGACTTCGTTTCCGGGGACGGCAGCCGTGATTCCTTCTTCAATGGACACCTGAGATACGATGACGACGCGTTCGCTTTCAAAGCGGAAATGGAGGACAACGTGTCCGATCATCGAGCCACCACCTTACCGTTGAAGAACCACAACCGACAGGGGAAATATTCCGCGGGTAGCAACAACAATAACAACAACAATAAGTCTAGAAACGACCAACACATAAGGAAGTCGGAGTCGGTGAATATATTCGTGAGGGAAAGCGATCCGTTTGGCGACGACGATTTCTTCGATTGATGGGTTGTTCGGGGAGTGTTGGACAGGCACCGTGATCGGTATTCAGGGGATGCTTCCGATTTTTCGGAATTGATGTCGGTGGCGGGATGATTCGACGGGGTGCGTTTCCTTTTTTCTGTCCAAAAACGTACCAACCTATCATCCATTTATAGCCCGCGAACTATAGAAATGAACAATTGTATCATCCATGTTTTTCTTTGGTTCGCTTCAAACTGTGGTTGAGGCAATAGGTATTGGCTGATCGAGGTCAGGTTAGGAGATGGGGTTTAGCGTAGTGTTCTACTTATAGTGGAACTGTGGAGCATTTAAAGACTGATTCGTTGGTAAATGGTAGAGTTTTGTTCAAGTTGATCAATGTGAGCTTGCTGTTTTTTAAAGTTGTGAATGTTCTTTCAAGCAAAATCAAGATTGTATCTGAAAGTTGCTAGAATAAGAGTTGCTAAGAAAATATATAATGTTATTTAAAATGTAAGTTGTATTCTCTTAAATAATTAATTTCTCTAATTAAATAATTATTCCTGTTTAGTTTAGCAATGACATAATTGATTTGTCAATTGATCTGTTATTTATCAGAGAATGTATCTTATTATAAATGTAAAAATTTGAAATACGAATTCACAGATGATTTACAAAGCCTAAGATTCAAGGTGCAGTTATATCAATAGATGTCATCACTTATTTATTTCAATTTATTATTATTATCCATTACGATTATTTATTATTAAAAATCAAGATAAATGTTTCCTCGAACAATTACAATACTTATTGTCTCTGTTATAGCTAAGTTATTGAAAAACTATACTTGTATCGAATGTGAATTAGAAATTCAAGGGGATGTTTATGGTAATTATATATATCGATGAAGAGGATTCGTCTTGATGTATCGATAGTCAGATATTGATGGGGTACGAGCGACGTACCGACTGCTAGTCATTGTTTTAATAAATTTGTACATAATGTTATATCGGCGTTAGCGTGAAATTAATTCGTCGATCGAGGTCTGTATATGTGCGTGCAGTTTGTATGATCAATTGTTTTATCGATTGTGATCTTGACGCGTAATTTCAATTCTCGATCACTTAGATTTGAGAAAAGATGGAATGCTTTGGAAAATTTAGAGAAAAATTGAAAACCCTGATTTACAATATTTTAATATTGATTTACAATATTTTAATATATTTTTTTTTCTCCTTGGTATTGTTGAATCGTAGATGATTCACACTTGATCTGAGTTTTGAGAAAAATTTGAACGATTGAGAAAATTTTTAGAGCGGAGCTATGAAATTTTTTGAGAAATGAATTTTCTAAGTATCGAAAATATTAATTTAATTTATAACGAGGGTAAATGAAACATTTTTTATATATTTTTATATATAGAAGATTATTGAAATTATCTCTCGAGCATTTCCACTTTTTTAGAAATTAATTAATCGTGTTTTCGTTTTATTTGTTTCGTACGATCACGATGCTAGTCATGTTCGAGTGAGTTAGAATATTAGAGAACACAGGCCAAATTATTGATGGTTGTTGCGACTGAAATCGTTAGAAAATTTTTAAATGTAATTTTTGTGTTCATTTGCAATTACATTTTTATTAATTAAATATACCGAGTTGAATTTAAAAAAAAAGAAAAGAAAAATTCTTTTTAAATATAAAGAATTAATATTTTAATAGAATTTTATTTTGCAATCAAATTTCTGCAATCATATAATTGTGAAATCATGAAAGAAAGAAAAGTTTCTAATAATTTTAGATGCAAGAACCACAATTACGAATGCCTGAGAGGATCTCGTTCGATAGTTAGATTATTCGGAATGTTGGGGAATCAAAATGTGACTTTTATACGTTTTTTGACTGGAACGATCTTCGTTCGTATGTCGAATCGATACCGTAATAAGAACAAGAAGTAGATTCGAAGAAAAAAAAAAGAAGAATAAAAGAGATAAAAGACGAAGATGTGAAAAAAAAACTCCGTCAAATCTAGATAGCTTATTTTAAATCAGAATTAGAATTTGTTACATTGCAATTTTTTATTTTCTCATTCAATTGCTTTACCAATAGATTTTTATATTTATTTTATATGTTATATTTATTGTGTGTAGATAGATGTTGATAGTCTATATCGAATTTTTTTTAACGCTCGAAAAAAATCTATTATTTATTTAATTTATTGATCAAATCTGTCCTACAGCAAATAAATTGAAGGATTCAGAAGAATAAATGGTACATGGAAAAAAACTTATATGAAAATTTAATGGAGAGATCTATATATATATATATTATTACATATTGAAAATTTGTAAGAAAATTTTTTTATTTAAATACTTAAGTATTTATAATATTTTTTATATCTATCTTATTTTTGAAACAAGTACAATTGTACCATTTTTTTCATCGAGTCCCTCAATCATAGTCAGAATTGTTACAATAAGAAATCACAAATTTTTGTTTAATCACTTGTGTACCTTACTAAGAATCAAGATTATAACAAAAAATTTTCACTTGCTATTAGCAACGCTTACTAATGATACGAAAAAATGGAACAATTAGATATGCATATCGATATATGCATTAATCAAAGCCAAAGATTTTTTTACGTTGCTGTCGCAACACTGATCGCTTCATTGAACAAATAAATAAGGATCGATGGCAATAATTGTGTTAAATTACATTACATTTATCGCAATGTTCAATTTCGAATTTTAAAGCGGCTTAATCCAAAAAAAAATTAATATTCGACGTTCATTCGTTTAACCTTTACGTCAATACTCGAAATTTAAAGAAAGAAAGAAAAAAAAAATCATTCAATTTTTTGATCGCAGTATTTTTCTGATAATAAAATTCTAAATTTGGAACGTGAATCCATATCAAATAACAATCCAAAAGCTGGATTCGAAAATATTTTAATGTGAAAATAAAAAATTTCATGTTCTATATCCATAGATATATATGTTATAGTGATTGTATAGGGTATTGATATAAGGGTTGAAAGATAAATTAAAAAAAAAAAAAAACTGAAAAAGTGTGCGAAGAACTATTGTAAAACATCAAGTATAAAATTACTCATGTGAAGTGGAAAAACTACAAATATATCATTTATCGAATTGCACGCAACGTTATCAACAATATTGTTTCAACCGTGAACAAATTTCTACATCCACGAGAATCAACGAGAGATTTGTCGAACGATTAATTAACAATTGTGCAATCGCGACCATTGAAGACACAATTTCAGGGAAATTAGTTAACCAAATACTTAAACGATTAAACCTTTATACAACCTTATACGTGAAAAAGACACGAACGATTCACTATGGGATGGGGAAATCCTGCGATTTTACATAAAAAAAAAAAAAGTATAGTTAATATAACATTATACAGAATAATGCGATGAGAGAAAGAAAAAAAAAAGAAAAAGAGACTACGACGAAGATGGAAAACTGTACCAAATGCTTTATTTTTACGATAAGAATGGAATTTTATTATTTGAAATATCGAATATGATTGATGAGCATAGAGGAGGATGTGTATGTTTCTGTCTGTGAGCGATTTAAAAAAATGAAAATGGAAATCCGTGAGAGGCGAAGGATAAGGAGCAATCAGCAAAACAGTAGATAGTGTAATAATAATAATAATAATATTAATAATATTAATAATAATATTAATAATAATAATAAAAATAATAATAAAAGTAAAAAAAAAGAAAAAAAGAAATGAAATTGATTCGAGAATGTTTAGAATATAGTAATCTGCATCGCTATAATAAATGTACGATACGTTCGCGATTTATGTGTGCGCTATTTATCGTGGAAAATTGTCATTTTTACTAAGACCAGATCGCGATGACGATTTTATTCCATGCATTATTGTCAGTCTCCCGATAAACACGAATCGCAGTACCAGACACAACAAAAAAAAAATGGAACCGTTCGAATAAATTTTCACTTTAAAAATGTTGGAACAGAATAAATTTCTTTTGGAAGAAACCTTATTTTATTCGTCTTATCTTCGTTTCCACGATCGAGTAAGTATAATAATTCTACCTTCGTATTTTCCAATTTCAATCTTCTATCATAATTTAACAGGTTTAAAATTATTTAAAATAATACAATGAAAATTATTAAAACCAAAAATTTCTTCCCCATAAACGACGATGAAATTAAAAATTGGATAATTAGAAAAAAAAAAAATAACAAAGCAAAAAAAGCAAGGATGAATCGACATGATCATGATGATCGAATGAATCGTGAACTGCTGCTGTAAAAACCCGCACGATCGCGAGGACCTCGACTCGAGGAGGGGTTGCGATCGGTGGCGGCGTTGTAGGCGCCTCCTCTCCACCCCTATCGCATCGAAACGGTTGGAGATCCCTCGGTGTTCCCCGTTCCTTGATTTGGCCGAGCACAATGCACAATAAAAGAGCATTAGATGGTCGGCTTTGTCGAGCGGTTGCACGACTTCTCGTAACAATGGCGTGGCCCCCACTCGGCGGGAGCACTCGAAACACCTGGCAAACAAGGAAACAATGCGCACGAGCCGCACTTCGACGGGATTTCGCGCATTTGGGGTGCGCGCATGCTAACAAATTATCACCCCCTCTGTCACTTTTCTCTCGTTTCTCTCTCCCTCCCTCTCTCCCTCCCTCTCTCTCTCTATTCGCGTCTCCCTCTTCATCCACCTTCGCGAAATACACGGCACTTTTCCTTCGCGGTTGCGATTACGCAGCAACCTCGGTGTCAACCGGAGGTTTAATGACCGGCATCCGCCGATGTAGATGGGTATTGTCGTTGGAAATGACGTGGACAAGACCGAAATAAAGTTGATTTTGGAGGAGGTTTGATATATTCGATTATTTCTAATGATGTAATTTGATAATCAATGAATTTTTTTTTGCTTTCATAACTTTATCTTATAATTTTATGTTTAATATGTAAGAGGGGGATGTGCTCTTTGATTGAGGGTTGATCCTGAGAGATCGAAAGAAAAGCGATCGAGGTTGAGGTTTATTTATATATATAAACAATCGAAATTTACCTTAGATAAAGTGAGATAGTGATAGTCTATTGGAAATTCAAATTATGCTTATAAATTTTGATCAATGTTTTTATATATCAATTTTAGTCGTATTTTAGATACTTTAGATATTCTACGAATATATTAATACTTTGTATAATAGACAATTTGTAATTCATACATATTTCTTTTTCGAGGAATTAATTTTCAAATTGATTTTTGATACAATTTAAAAGTTTTTTTATAATCGTTATAACTTTCGATGCATCGATATCGTTCCAACTTTTCAATCAACGGTATTAATTCGCTTCATCAAACTTCCGATTCATCGATGCGTTTTCTCGACAATTTTATATTCATAATTTTCAATTTTAAAAATAAAAATTTGAAAATTCGGCCAATTCGCTACAGGTTTCAATCTCATCGATCCGGCTCCGATATCTTCCCGGCTCGA